CCCCCCACAGACAGTGACCAGACAGCAACTGGTGGGGGGGGGGCCTCTGCCCAGCTCCCAGGTGCTGAGGGAGCTGGCAGGGCCCAATGACTCAGGTGGAGGGAGGCACGTGGGGGCCCAGGTGCTGCCCAGGGCCCAGAGTTCAGCTGGGTCCTGCCCTTCCACATCAGATGCTCACGCTTGACTCGCCAGCCAGGCCTAGGGACCACATCTTTGCATGAACTTCGTGCATCAGGCCTCTAGTTTTTATATAAGAAGTGAGATGTAGATAGAGGTTTTATTTTATCTAACTATTGCTATCCAGTTGTCAGCACACTTTGAAAAAAAACAACAACTATCCTTACTCCATTGAATTACTATTGATCCTTCGCCAAACATCAGTGGGCTTCATGCATGTGGGTCTGTTTCTTTTCTGCTCCGTTAACTCATGTGTCTATCTCTCCACCTGTATGACACTCTCCTGATAACTATAATTATACTAGAGGCACAGTGTATGGATTCATGCACCGGTGGGGTCCCTCGGCCTGCCCCGCGCCCTCTTGTAATCTGACCGCAGGCCAGGCTAAGGGACCCCACTGGTGCATGAATTTGTACACCAGGCATCTGTTGGAGAGCCAGTTTTGGCCCTATCCCCACAGGCCAGGCCGAGGGACCCCACCAGTGCATGAATCAGTGCATCTGGCCTCTACTATGCATATAAGATCTTTAGTTAATCTCTTCCCGCCCTCCCCCTTCCCCCTTTCCCTCTGAGACTCACCAGTCTGTTCCATGTTTCCATGCCTGTGGTTTCCACTCCTGCATTGAGCATCTGCCCCCTGGTGGTCAGTGCCCATCATAGCTACTGGTCAGTCAGCTGGTCGGCTGATCGCTTAGGCTTTTATATATATAGATAATAAGACTTAGCATCAGGTAGAGTGAGTCTTTCCACTTTATTATTTTTTAAACAATCATAGCTATTCTAGTTCTTTTCCATATACATTTTAGAATAAGCTTGTCTATCTTTTTAAAAATCTTGCTGGGATTTGGATAGGAATTGTGTTAAACCTGTATATCAATTTGCGAAGAATGGACACCTTTACCCTGTTGAGTCTTCGAATCTGTGATCATGGCATTTTTCTCTACTTATTTAGATTTTCTCTTATTTCTTTCATCAGTATTTTATGGTTTTCAGCATACAATGCCTGCACATGTTTTGTTAGGTTTACATCTAATTATGTCTTCTTTTTGAGCAATTGTATAGGTTATTCAACCTTATTTTCAGTTTCCATGTGTTCATTGCAAAAATATAGAAATACAGTTGTTTTTTGTGTGTTGATCTGATATCCTGTGACCTTGCCAACCTTATATATTAGTTCTAGGAGGGTTTTGTGTTTTTTTAGTTTTTTTTTTTAGGATCTTTGAGATTTTCTATGTCGGCCATCGTGTCATTTGCAGATAGAGACAGACGGCTTTATTTCTCTTTCCCAAACAGTGTGCCTTTTATTTTCTTTCTTTGATTTATTGATCTGGCTAGGATTTTCAGTGCTATGTTGAATAAGAGTGATGTGAGTGGACATCCTTGCCTTGTTCCTGATCTTAAGGAAAATGCATTCTGTCTTTCACCAATATGTATGACGTTATCTGTAGGGTTTTTAAAGATGTTCGTATCAAGTTGAGGAAGTTTATATCTATTGCTAGTTTTCTGAGATTTTTAAAATCACCCACAGATGTTGAATTTTATCAAGTGCTTTTTCTGTATGAATTGATATGATCCTATTGTTTTTCTTGGTTAGCCTGTTAATAAGGTGGGTTACATTGATTAACTTTCAAATATCAAACCAGCCTCACTTCTCTAAAATAAATACCACTTGGTTGTGGTGTGTAAATTTTATAAATATTGCTGAATTCTATTAGGCAATATTTTATTAAGGAATTTTATGTCTGAGTTCATGAGGGGTATTGGTCTGTAGTTTTCTTTCATACTGCCTGTGTCTGTTTTTGGTATCAGCATAATCTGGCATCACAAAATGAGTTGGAACATGTTCCCTACTCTTCTGTTTTCTAGAAGAGATTGTGTAGAAGTGGTGTTAATTCTTCTTGAAAGTTTTATGGAATTCTTTAGTAAAACCATCTGGTCCTACAGACTTTTTTTTCAGGGATTTTTTAAATTATGAAGCCAGCCTAGCTGGTGGGGTTCAGTGATTGAGCATTGACCTATATACCAGAAGGTCATGGTTTGATTCCTGGTCAGGGCACATGCCCAGGGTATGGACTCAATCCCCAGTAGGGGGCATGCAGGAGGCAGCCGATCAGTGATTCTCTCTCATCATTGATGTTTCTATCTCTCTCCCTCTTCCTTATCTCTGAAATCAATTAAAACATATTTTTAAAAAAGTAAATAATGAAGCCAATATCTTTAATAGTTATATGGCTATTAAGATTATTTCATATTAGAGGCCCAGTGAACAAAATTTGTGCACTCGGGGGGTGGGGGGTCCCTCAGCCCTTGGAGGATATCCGACTGATGGCTTAAGGAGCGGGCCTAAGCTGGCAGTCGGACATCCTTAGCACTGCCACAGAGGAAGGAGAGGCTCCTGCCACTGCCACTGTACTTGCCAGCTGTGAGCCTGGATTCTCGCTTAGTAGCACTCCCCCTGTGGGAGTGCACTGACCACCAGGGGGCAGCTCCTGCATTGAGCATCTGCTCCCTGGTGGTCAGTGTGCGTCATAGTGACTGGTCATTCTACTGTCAGGCCGAAACCAGCTCTCGGACATCCCCTGAGGGTCCCGGATTGCAAAAGGGCTCAGGCCAGGCCAAGAGACCCCCCCAGTGCACAATCGGGGCAGGGGAGGGACATGGGAGGTTGGCCAGCTGGGGAGGGACTACGGGAGGGCTCCAGGGCGTGTCCGGCTCATCTCACTCAGTCCTGATCTGCCAGACCCCAGCAAGCTAACCTGCCGGTCGACTTCTGCCCCCTAGTGATCAGTGGATGTCATAGCGAGTGGTTGAGTGGCCTTAGCATATCATTAGCATATTACACTTTTTAAAAATATATATGTTTTATTGATTTTTTACAGAGAGGAAGGGAAAGGTAAAGAGAGCTTGAAACATCGATGAGAGAGAAACATTGATCAGCTGCCTCCTGCACACCCCCTCCTGGGAATGTGCCCACAACCAAGGTACATGCCCTTGACCAGAATTGAACCTGGGACCCTTCAGACAGCAAGATGATGCTCTATCCACTGAGTCAAACCGGCTAGGGCTAGCATATTACACTTTGATTCATTGAATGGACGACTGGATGACTGGACACTTAGCATATTAGGCTTTTATTATATAGGAGTGGGCAAGTTATGGTAGTTGGTGACATTGGTCTGTTTCATCTAAGTTGTTACATTTATTGTTGTTCATAGCATTACCTTATTATCCTTTTGATGTCTATGAGATCTATAGTGCTATCCCCTAATATCATTGATATAGGTAATTTGGTAATTGGTAATTCCTGATATTGGTAATTTGTATCTCCTCTCTTTTTTCTTTGTCTTTCTAGAAGTTGGTCAATTTTATTGATCTTTTCAAAGAATTAGCTTTTTATTTCATTGATTTTCTGTATTGTTTTTGTTTTCAATTTCTGCTTCTATCTTTTTTTATTTCCTTCTTTCTGTCCAACTCTACCCAGACAACATAATGAAGCAAAGTGTGTCATTGGTGAAAAATACAGTGTCATTTTACTGTAAGTATAGAAACTGGAATTTACAGAGATTACATAAAAAGAAATTCCCTCCAAAATAAGGAAATGAAACCTATTGTTTTTTTTTTTCTGGCTTGTGACTTTATTATGTTACTTAGTGGCCACAATCATTTATATACTAGTAAACCAGATTCTTATTCTAAATTGATTCAGAAACCCCCTGAAATTCAGCATGGTGTTTTGACCTCTGTAACCTCAGTAAGATCAATACCTGCTTGTTTCTTACTTCTTCAGGCTGCTGACAGAGGCCCTGCCCAGAAGTCAGAAGCCCAGGGTAGGACTCAGAGTTTAACTATAAATAATTAAGAGTTAGCTGTGATTTTAAAGCATGGCTAATTTCTAGTCTGTGTATAAAATAAAAATGGATATAACCACAAATCCAAAGCCAGGACACTGATTTCCAGAAATCCAACTTATCTTTTAAAATTGGTATTTTGTGATTAATATTTTAGAACGTGGAGGCAAAATGCTCATATTGTTTTCTGTAAATGTACAAACTACATAATATTTGTCTTGGTCTCTTACGCAAGTGTTGCTATTCACAAAGGACAACATTTTGGCAACTTAAAAAAATGGTCACAGGATTATTTCAGTGGATAAACCTTGCATGTGTCCTGAGTGCATTTTGGTGGCATGGTGGCTGTCTTCTCGGAGCCCCCAGCTTAGGTGACACGCACATGAAGTGGTGGTTATGGTGGGGGGTGGAATGGTGCACATCCACGCAGTCAAATGAACAGGTAGCCCTCCTACCTCAGCGTGTAGTAATACAATCACTCAAGGACAAGTTAGGATGCCCTGCCCCCTATAATCCTGTTAGACAGAATTTATGATAAAGCTCTTTGTAAGGTGACTTAAGGAATAAAGGCTGGGAGAAGCCCTGAGCTCTTTATGTAATAGCATTTGTAACTGGATATTTTTAAGGAGTTTTAAGATGACACCTTGTAATCAAAGGCAGCGTCCGGGAAGGTGAAGAGCTGGGGCTCTAGCGTCTAACAGACTCAATCGCAATCTTGGTTCCACCATTTTCTACCTTTGTGACCTTGGGCAACTTATTTAACTCAGTTTCTTGGCTGGTGAAATGGGGTTGACAATAGTGTGAGGACAAAATGTGGTGATGAATAAATGTGATAGAGAATTTTTTTCGTTAACTGTGCCATCTGGCACATGGTAAACATTTAGTATATTTTAGCTGTTATCATTACTAATCATGGTGTCACTACTGTTATGATTACTGTTATTATTACAAGTGGATTGTACATTAATGGAATCTAGTTTGCTTTCCTGGAATTTGTACTTTTTAATACTGTAGTAGTATATAGAGTCCGGATAAGTCATAGTCTGAATGTGTGACTAAAAGTAACACTTTAAGAAGCATCACCTTCTCACTTGCATATTTCAGGGGAGATTCGTAGCTTGAGGATTTGGGCATGTCTAGAACAGCGTTTCTCACCTTTTGTTTTTTAAATTATTGCCCCTCCAAGGAGCCTTTAAAAATGTTTTCCTCAGTTTTAATACCACAGTAAGATTTTAGTACCACCATTACTTTTCTTTTTAAGAAATTTCAGTACCATAGATCTAGTATATATTTATTGATGTACTATGGTACAAATCATTGTAATCTCTAAAAGAATGTTTTTGTGCTACAAGAACCATTTTTCACACCCCTGGGGGCAACATCACCCCCCCCACCATTGGGAATACATGCTTTAATGCAGTGCTTCTCAACTGAGGGCAATTTTCCCCCTAGGGGACATTTGACAATGTCAGGAGACATTTTTGGTTGCACTGGGGTACCCACCCCAGTGCTTACTGGTGGGTAGAGGCCAGCGCCCAAAATATCAATAGTGCCAAGTGTGTGAGACCTTGCTCTTCATGTAATGGTGAAGTTTAAATGCACTCTGAAGGAGCCAGCAATTATTGAGGAAGGTGAAAATGGACTGTGTCAGTTCTAAGGTCACAAGGTAAAGAGAAGAACAGAAGTTGGATTGCTGACCTTCAGGTTGAACACATGGACAATGTGACATACTTAACTAGAAAAAAAGGCCATCCCTGTCTTAAGTATTGTTGCTGTTTTCAATAATATAGGCTTTTTGCTCTTTCTGTCAAATATGTGTAAATGCTGCAAATACGTGTTTATTAACTTTGTTTTTTATTTTTGTTTGGATGTGTCTTGCTTTATGAAACAAATGAATTCCTGAAAAAATTGCAGAAATTCATTTGCTGAGTTGCATTTCATTATATTTTGAGAGGCTTATCTTCATTCTAAATTGATCCTCATTTGACCTGCTCCTAACATTGTTGCTTTAAATGTAAATTTAGCAGCCCCTCTGCCTCTCCAGGTTTTAGAGAGCAGGGATAGTATAAGAAAGGGTATGGATTTATGTTTAAAGTGAGACCATCTATTCTTTGATGGACGCGGTCCAGGTCATGTGCCCAGAGCCCCTGGCTCCCCTATTGTCCCTGTCACACTCACGTTCCCTTCTTCTACTGCCCAGAGTTGGCGTCGAGGAGCCCTTTGAAGAGGACCAGAATGAACTCCACTGGCACTACTTCAGGTGACACAAGGGCAGCCTCAGAAACAAATGAACTGGGCCTGGCTTTCCCCCTCTTTCTAACCTCTTTCTAACATGAGGTGCTTCTCTTTATGCCATTTGTCTCTTTCTTCTGGTGTGTGCCAACCCTCTGCTCCTTTTAGCAAAGGGGCAAGAGGGGAGGTCAAGTCTAATCATTTTTCCACGCTTCTATTGGCTGGTTGATGTATCTGTTCCTGAGATTGTGTCCACTTACCCTGCATTTTGAACAGTGCTGGCGAGTGTCTCCTTGTACAACTGGCCTTCGTGTTGAGAGCAGCACATTTGCAGAGCCACACATACTTTCCCCACAAAATTCTGCTTATTTTCTAGTAAACAAGGCTTCCAACTTATAAAGAGAACCAGAATTTTATATTTCAGCCATGGCTGGCATATGGCTCACACCATCTTAATTAAATACTGTTTTCGTTTTCTAAGGATGTTTTTGTGTACTTGTGCTTTATCATGGTGAATCGGAAGGTACAAAAAACAGGTGTTTTTAAACCGGGGGATAATTAAAGGCTCTTCTAATGCAATTTGTTGCTCAGTGTGCATCCAGATTTTTGATTTGATTATGCTTAAGGGTGGTGATATTGGACAATCAGAATGAAGACTTTAATGTTCTTTCCCTTCTGCATCTTTAACCAGCATGCTTTCTTCCTGGTCTGATTTTGGGTGCTGGTCAATAATATAAATGCAAAATAGGCTTGAACTCTGTTCTTGGCATTGGGAAAGCATTTCACCCTTTGAGCACAGCGATGAAAGCAGCTATAGCTGCCATGGTGCATGGATCTTGGGATATCACTGGGCCTTGGATGTATACTGTAATGACACTCATACAGTTAATTGACACGTTTAAGTTTCCTGGGTTCGAACTTTCTTCTGTTTAAAATACACACACAGGTTTATTTTCAGAGATCTGACTTTAGATACTGATTAACTGGCAGAGGAAACCCCCTCCTTTGAAATATTCCACTTTTAAGAAGGAAGTGGAAAGTGCAAATTATTACACTTGGGATGTGAGAGAATTCAGATTCTGATCTGTTGTTCAAGGTTTTGTATGAAGGTGCGTGTCTAATATCCCTCAGATTATTTAGGACCTCAGATAGTTCTAAACTTCTAAATTGTAGAAGTTCTAAAGGTTCTGAAATTTTACAGCCTTTTTATGACAGTTAATCAGAATGTACATATTATACCAGAAGAGCAATTATTCATTTTTTTGTATCTAATCATTCCAGAATGTACACATCCATTTGGTTGCTTATTTTCTCAGTTGGTGTGGGATTTCCACATTTGTCTCATGCTTGTTGAAAATAAGGCTAATTCAGCCTGGCTGGTGTGTCTCAGTGGTTGAGTGTTGACCTATGAACCAGGAGGTCAAGGTTCGATTCCCAGTCAGAGCACATGCCCTGGTTGCGAGCTGAATCCCCAGTAGGGAGGTGTGCAGGAAGCAGCCGATCAATGATTCTCTCTCATCACTGATGTTTTTCTCTCTCTCCCTCTCCCTTCCTCTCTGAAATCAATAAAAACGCTTTAAAACAAACAAACAGGTGAGGGTTCAGGATCACAGCTAGAAATTCAATTGATGACCTCTACCACTTTTATACATTAGACACTTTGGGTGCACTAATGCTCTGGTGTTACTTTTGTGGATAGTCCTGGGACCTCTGAATTAGGTGGATTTCATATAAAAAAATCGCTGTATTTGTTGCTCAGAATCCCAGGATAATGTCCAGTTGGGAGGATAAGACTCCATCTTTCAAAAACTCCTGCCTAGAAGCAGCCTATGGACACAGCAAAGCCCATCTAATTCACTACAAAGGTCCCATCAAACCTCAGGCCCATGGGGAGGAACACTAGGTACACTATGGACGTGCTTATAACAGTGCCTGGCATAGTAGGTACTTAATAAATATTTGCTGAATCCATGGATTCATCTTGTGGGTTTAAGCTTTGCCTTCAGCAAACTATGGGGAAACTGCTTCTTTTTCTTCCATACTCCGCCCCCCCCCCCCCTTGTCCAGGGGCATGCACCTTGGGTTAGTGCTTAACAAGCCTGGAGTAAGAGAGTAGAGGCTGGTTTTGCAGGTGGGGTGCATCTGTGCTATCTTCTATTCCCCTTTTCCATTAGTCTCTTTTCTCAAGAAATATGCTGGGCATCACAGGTGGGGAGGAGGGAAGGAGAGGAGGAAAAGTAAGATGTGCATACACAGGGCTCTGTGCATCTGCTGGCCTGCTCATTGGAGTCAGCACCCTGGTACTGGACTGCAGATCACACCCCTGTTCAAGGCCATTCAGCACCTCTCTTCAAGCACCAATCAGACCTGCTGAAAACTGTGTTCTGTTTACCTTTTATAATGCCATATGTTCTTTGTGATACTGGAGGAAGTGAGGGAAGATAGGGAAATCCCCTGACATCTTTGTTTTCTCCTTCATTGCTCCATGCTAACCATGTCTTCTGTGTCAGAATCAGGAAGGCACAGGGATAAAGAATTACCAGATGCACAGGGCGACAGTTGGTATGTTACTAAGCTAAGATAGTGCTTTTATGAATTTGCTATAAGTGGATTTTGGCACTTTGCTTTCTGTCTTTAGTTGTTGATTTCAAATATGTGACTTCATAGGTCATCTCTGCTGTGGGAAGACGTGGCGGCACCAGGATAAAAAAAGTTAGAGATATGCATGCTGAAGTATTTAGAGGAAGTGTACTGATGCATGCGACTTTATTTGAATTCATCCAAAAAATAAGATGGGTGATAGAGAGATGGCTGGAGATGTAATAAAGTATAGCAAAATGTTAATGGTAGAATCTAGGTGGTGGGTATTTAGGTGTTCACTATAAATCCTTTCAACACTTCCTTGGATATATGAGAGGTTTCATAACAAAAGGTTAGGGAAATAAAAGCAGGGCAGGGCAGATGTGAGGAAGCAGTGGAGAGGAAAAGCCTGGTGCAGTGGGACCCACACTTTTAGGACGGACAGTCTGGGACAGGAAGGCAGACCAACAGTTGCCAGCTGGTGCTGTTCCTCAGCGGCCTTGCTCAGGGTGTAAGCACACAGGCTGTATGGCCCCTCCTATCCCTGGGATCTGATGTGTATAACCTCCTTCTCATGACTTTTGCATGACAGTCTTTCTCTTCTTTTAGCTAATCATTCCTTCTGCTTCGGGAAGATGGTCAGCCTCTTGCCAACTTTCAGCCAGAATGGCTGTCATGGTCCAAGCTAATACTCTCTTTTTTTCTCCTTGTCTTTCTCCCTGGTGACTTGTAGAGTTGGTGTTGACCCAGATCAAGACCCACCACCCAACAACGACAGCTTTCAAGTCTTACAAGGGGTAAGTCACAAGACATGCTTCTTCTCAGGAAAGATAATATTAAAAATAGCTAAAATTTATTGAGCATTTACTACACACTAGGCACTTGACATGAATTCCCTCACTGTGATCTTGACAAGAACCTTATGAGGTAGGTACTGTTATCCCATTTTACAGATTAGAAATTAAAGTTTGAGAGTTTCAGTGAGTTATATAAGGCCAAAGAATTAGAAAGTGATGGAGCCAGGATTTGACCCCAGAGAGAGTGTTCATAAACAACATAAAGGAGGTGG